GGAAGATCCCATCACGATGGACATCATCAACAAACTACAGGCTAAAGACAAGGCCACCAGTGATGAGTTTGTGATGATGGATGGGTTGCTCTTTCTTGAGAAGGCAGGGCTTAAGAGATTAGTTGTTCCATCTAGGGAAGATTTGCGTAGTTTGTTTTTAGGAGAATGCCATGACGCAACGGGACACTTCGGCTATAAGAAGACTAGTGCTAACTTAGTACAACGATTTTGGTGGCCTAACATGTTGGACGATGCAAAGAAGTACGTACAGACCTGTCACGTCTGTCAGCGGGACAAGCCGCGGACTCAAGCTCCGCTTGGGTTACTCAAGCCTCTACCCATTCCTGCTGGCCCGGGACAGAGTATCTCCACGGACGTCATGGATACTCTCGTGAACCATGACGCAACGGGACATTTCGGCTATAAGAAGACACAGCGATTTTGGTGGCCTAACATGTTGGACGATGCAAAGAAGTACGTACAGACCTGTCAGGTCTGTCAGCGGGACAAGCCGCGGACTCAAGCTCTGCTTGGGTTACTCAAGCCTCTACCCATTCCTGCTGGCCCAGGACAGAGTATCTCCACAGACTTCATGGATACTCTCGTGACTAGCACGAATGGCAAGACGCACATCTTCGTCATAGTGGATAGGTTCACTAAGTACGCTAAACTAATCGCCATGCCAGAGACTGCCAGGACTGAGCACGTCATCAAGTTGTTCATGGACAACTGGGTGGGTGACTTTGGACTTCCATAGACGATCGTTAGTGACAGAGATGTGAGGATTCACAAGCGAGATCTGGAAGAAGGCCGCAGAACAGATGGGCAGTGAACTTCAAATGACTTTTGGGAATCATCCCGAAGCAAATGGGCAGGCTGAACAGATGAACCGAGTGGTGCAGCATCTGCTGAGGCATTACATCAAGCCCAACCAGGATGACTGGGATGAGAAATTACCTCTCGCCAGCCTGTACAATAACGCTATACATAGCACCATCGACGTCACTCCTTATCAACTGCATCTGGGGTGGAATCCTAGATCTACTCTAGACTTCCTCCTGCCTGAAAACCGAACTGCTGCAACCCCTGGAACCATTGAATTTGGTGTTCAGTATGAGAAACTGTTTCAGCAGACTGTCGAACACATCAAGAAATCTCAAGAAGTCATGATTGCTTCTGAGAACAAATGTCGCCGACAGTCCACATTTCAGGTAGGGGAACGTGTCTGGGTCAAGGTTAGTGACCTGGGACAGGAGTTTGGCATCTCTAGGAAACTAATGCCTTAGTATTTCGGTCCCTGGGAAGTCCTAGACATTGTGGGGAATGATTTGGATGGTCCCTCGTACGTCATTCGTATCCCTGGTCGCTTACGCACTTACCCTGTTTTCCACGCCTCCAAGCTTGCACCTTTCACTGAGACATCACAGTTCCCATCACGGAGATCTATGCTGCCCCCAACCATGGATGGCCACGTGGACGTCGACGACATCCTGGATCACAGAGACACGCCTGTTCCCAAGCCACTTGGCAGGGGAAGACCTCCCAAACCTGCGAGGGAATACAGAGTACATTTCAGGCATCATACAGATCCGAAGGAAGACCGATGGATTTTAAAAGGGAAGGCACCAGCATGAAGCATCTCAGCGGACTTTCGAGGCTAGGGGGGATGGAATGTGAGGAACAAGCCCTTAAGGGGCCCTATCAAATATCACACAGTTTTGGGCTAAGGCCCCCAGCAAGCCAAGTGCCCACCCTAAGTGAAGGCGGGCCTGAATATTCGTGAAAGGCAAAATTCGACATTTCCAAATGTGGGTATTCAGGCTCTCACAGCACGCCAGTTGGTTGGGAAGACGCGTGAGCCTCACATTGCTGCGTCATACAGTTGGCCCAGGCCTTGACAGTTGTGCCTGGGCACACATACACAAAAAGCAGGGCTGATACATTGGGAAGCAGGCCTTCGGCCTCTGCAAAAGCAGTAGTGCCAACGCACCTGCCTAGGAGCCCTGCACAGATGCAGCAAACAGCCCAAGTCTGGAGAACCAGGCCGTGCCTAACTGCAAAGGGCCCATGCCCTCATCTGTAGTCTCAGGCCTGGGCGCAGGGTCTGGGACCCAGCCGGAAGCTATTGGAAGTTTCCAGCCAGGCCACAGGCACCATCCAGGGGGCTGCCACTTCCACAAAAGGAATGAGGCAGCCCAGGCCAGGCATTCTGACCAGCGCTGGCAATGCGGAAGTGCTGCTGCGCTCTCGCTTGATGCTGCGCTGCTGCCAAGGGCGCTGACAGGGCGCGAGAGGTGAAGTGGGGCGCTGCAGGGCAGCGGTGTAAGCGCGAATACCCTGACAAGGGTATCCGCCCTTATTTTTGCAAGTGACCGGAAGTACGAGTAGAGGTCTAAATTGTACTGCGCAAGACGCTCCTAGGTCTGTTTGGTTACATAGGTAAGTTGCTTGATTAGAGTGGAGCGGGTGTGGGCGCGCGGGATTAAGGCGCGCGTGTGATTTTCTACTTCGGATTATGCAACCGTCATAGTTGGCCGGCCTGAAACCTTGTTTCTAGGAATAAGAGGCTTGTTCTTAATTGGGACACGTGACCGTTGGTAGGCCTACGTACGGAATGGGGCGTGAGACGGCCACGACACAAAGTGGGCAAGCCTGGGCAGATGCCTAGCAACAACCCGCTCTTAGGTAGAGGGAGGAATAAGGGCTGGGCAAATTCCTAGGCCGAGGGCTGTGTAACACCACTTCTTACAGGATCTGGCACGGACTGGTACCAGGCTGGGGCATAGCCCTATAGGTTACGGTACTGGACTGTTACAGCAGAGGTACGGGGATCGAGGCTGGCCGGCGGAAGCGCGCGAGCACGGAGCGCTAAAGGAGCGAAAGGGTTGAGGGTCCCCCAAGAGGGGGACTATCCCCTTTTGTCTTGTTGGGGGAGCCCCGATAGCGGCCGCTTATCGATTGTTGGGATGACATAAGCTAGTTCATTGAATTATTATATTATTTATTACTTGTTGTTGTCGTTATTTCTTTTGCTTTTACTTTTAGTTTTGTTTTTGTTGTTTGTTTCGTTTGGGGGCCTGATTCGTTGACCTCGTTTGGCCTTACGTAAGGTACCTTCAGGTACCTGAGTCGGTGGCTTGGGTCGGGGTAGTGTCTGCTGAAGTCCGAGCGGAAGGGGAGACGACTCCTTGAAGTGACCAGTGGGAAGTGACCAGGGGCAGGCCGATACCCGACGGGATTATAAACTGGGATAGCCCGCCCAACTGTTCAGGCATTCGTGCATAGGCTGCGCGAAAGCGCTGTCACGCCGAAGACCGCGTGGGTGGTGGTAAGGATCGATGACGAAGCTGGTAGGACGAGCATGGAGGGAGGAGCCTGGAGGTCGGAGCGAGGTGCGAACGCACTGAAATGCGAGTGGACCTGGACGGCATCCGACGCCAGGTACATTCGAGGCTGGAGATGGTAGAGAGGCAGGGTGGAGCGCAGCATAGGATGTCGAGCCCGCTCGGCCCTTAGTGATGGCGGGCAGGAAGGGGACCGACACACAGGCTCTGACCCCGGGCGCAGCGGATGGGAAGACGGGGAGCGAAGGAGAGGTCGAAGTATAGAGAGGATAACAGGGGGAGTAGTGCGCAGTGAGGTGGCTATGGCGGAGCTGGGCGCAGACAAGCGAACGTAGCTTCCTCGAGCCGGCGCGGAGAAGGGTATGAAGGCAGCAAAGGGGGAGCAAAAGAATGGCATGAACCTGGGCGACGAGATGCACCAGATGCACTCAGATTGGAGAAGGCCGGGCAGTGGGGGAATAACGACATGAACCTGGATAGCATACAGCGCCAGGTGCAGTCAGGATTGGTGATTGGTGCATGCGGGAGAGGGGAGGTGCGCTAGTAACAGGACACGACAGCAAGCCATGGCAACGAGCGCAGTAGGGGAAGAAGAAGGCAGACCGGGGCGGTATATCGCGCGGGTGCTCGTAGCAATATAGAGGGCGGGGAACAGGTACGTTCGGAGAACGGTAGCTGAGATAGCGCAGTGGGCAGTAAAGGAGGGCGGAAGAACCTGGCGGGGGGTTTGTACCAAGTATGGGTGAAAGTGGAGATGGCGGTGAAACGAGCTGGGCGCGGCCAGAGACGGAGTGTTTGCCCGATTCTTGGTAGAAGCGGGCAACTGACAGGTGAACTCGGGTTTTTTTTAGGTTGGCGAGGCCAAGTACGATGCCAGTTTTAGTTAGGGGTGAATAGGATCGGAGATAAGGGGAAAGCGGTGTGCGCTAAGCTATGGCGGGAGGGGGAAGGGGAGGAAAGGAAACAGGTGTGTCTCGCCCGATTCTCAACTGATTCGGGCAAGGTAAAGCCTGAATTGGTGGTTTCTGGGCATTGCGAGTGTGATAGTGTGGTTAGTTCTGGAGTTGGAGTAATAGGATGAGGGCTAGTAGAAAAACGAGGGGCGCGGAGGGTGTCGCTGGCGGGAATATAGCGCCACGCAAAAACAGGTAAATCACCCGTCTCTGAATGGAAACGGGCGAACTAGGATTCAATTTCGCGGTTTTAGAACCCCGCCACTCGATCTGAGAAGGTAGATTGGTGAGGCATGGGGGAGAAGATGCCGCATAAGCAGTAAAAGCAGCACCCAGAGGTGGAGTTCAACGATCCATGAATATATCTGGCTGTGATCCGCCGTAAGATTCATTTCAATTTTGCTTATCCTATTGTAGTAGGGGCACGAGACAGTCGCAAGGTTGGGGACGTACTTGTTGGTCGGTGCGTGGCTCGTCCCATCGAGGGAAGAGGCCTCGCTCTTGCACGACGGGAGTAGTAGAGGAACAATGTGCATCTTATTTTGGAGGAACCTGGTCGGGGTGTTGGCCAGGTGCATACGTGTGTTAAAGAAAGGGCGAGGGGAGTAGAGAGAGAGGGAGAAGTTACTTACCTGGGCGGAGGAGGAAGCAGGATCAAGAGCCTGCCACCCATCAGGCCAAGCACATCTGAGATGGGAGCTGCTCAGTTCGGGCTGTCTGTGTTGCCTGTGGGTGATGGCTGATGCTCGTGGGAGGGATTCCCTGACTCAGTGGGTGGTGGGAACCTACAGTCTGTGGTGTGGGATCGTGGTGTACGTAGGTGATGTGCTGCCTTGCTCCGTGTGGGATGTGCGGACTGCCTCGTCGGTGCTCGGCCATTACCCCGCTGCCAGTATCCCATCTGAGTTGCATGTAAGTTCTTCGCGGGATGATGAGTTCTGTTGTACGGGCGAGCCAGGCAGGCTTATCTGATCAATGAGTGTCAGTGTGCTGTTCACCCGACTCCACCACGAGTATTGTGGAGTGAATGTGACAATTGACAGGGAGGTGTTGTTGCAGGTTGAGGGGGTTGCTGGAGGGTCTGCAGTTAGGGAGCTTTGACCTCGGCTCAGCTAGTCGTTGCGGCGGACTGTTGCGGGTCGGCTGCTGTTGCTGTGGATCGCCACTAGGAGTGGTTGCTACTATGGACGGGGCACAGGACGACTATTGTTGCTGCAGGTGAAGATATGTTGTTGTCGATGACTGCCGCCCCTACTGGGATGGATCTGCCGCAGTGTGTTGTGCAAGATCTGCTACCACATACCGCGCATTGGTGGCCCCTGTGTCCTAACTGTTGACCGCTACGGACCGCCCGAACTAAGGCTGCTGGCTGCCGCGGTGGTCTGCTGCGATGTGCGGTGGCTGGGCAGGAACGGCCATAGCTCGGTTTGACTAAGAACCGTTGCATGCTGTTGGTGGCTGATTGGAGGTTGATGCCATTGCTGCTGGCCGCCGTGGAGTACTACCGCCACTGCGCATAAGGACCGAGACAGGGTACTGGGCGGCTGTTGTTGGACTTAGGGAGGGAGCTTGGGGCGCTAGTTGGAGGCTCGTCAGGTGGGGCTGTTTCGGCAGGTTGGGTTCGCTGATCAGGTTGTCAGTTGGCCGCCATTGCGGGGCCCTCAGGCGAACCAAGATAACAAGGCCCCCTCACGCGAGTCTAAGTGCATCCCTCTGAGAGTCTCTATACTTTCTCTATCTACCTTTCTTACTCCAAATCTAATCAACTGGTTACAAGGGGAAGGCGGCAGGCGGGATTGCAACCCATAGGCCCGCACCAAGACTCTGTGGGGAGTCCTCCCACCGATTGCGGGAGCTCTGCCGGAACCTAGGCGATGTTCTGGAGTCAGGGAACCATCAGGTAACCTCTCTCTATCTGTATACCCTACTATACCCATGTTTGCTTATCCCCTATAGCTTGACTGATGTATGCATGCCTGGCCCTATACCCGTTGCTTTTTATTCAGGACATAACCAGATCAAAATAAAAGAATGCATCTATAATGTTAATTTAAACTTCTTTGATTGATTGAAAGCAAATTGTGGGATTGCATCTGGGGGAAGGGTGGGAGAAAGACAGTATTGCATGAAGTTTGACTGGGTCAACCAAAGGCTGGGCCAGTTCCATAAGTTTGGGAAGGCCCAGTGCTGTGT